ATGATCAAAATAGTGGCAATAATTATGAGAGTAGTTATAATCACCTGTCGATCGGTTCCATGTCTGACGAAGAGTCGCTGCGATGGCGGCTGAAGTGGCGGTCGTCGTCGTACTGATCCGGTTCTTCGGTGATGTCTCGGATCAGTTCCGTGTACTCGTCGTCCGCCGACGAGTCGTCATAATGTCTTCGTGTGGCAGACATTGTCTAATGGGATGGTAAGGGAATGGTTGCCGAAGAATGGTATCCGTATTGTTGTTGTTGTTGTGGTCGTTGTTGTGGAGGAATATGTCTTCGGGTGACCAGTCTTTGGGGTCAAAAGTCTTTGAGAGAAACGGAAAGTGAGAATTGTTTACAACTTTTTTGGTGACAATTGTTTACATAACTAATGATATAATCATATGTTTTCTGTTTATATCTCTCAATACCTTTGCATTGAGTAACAGTACAGTCGACGCTCGCTATACCTGACACACCTGTTTGTACAGTATATTGTCTTATAGTGTACTTTATATATAGTGAACACAATTTACTAATCATTTTGTACACTATTCACCGATAATAGGCTTTGAATACACTACCCATCGGTACAGTCTATATATAGATTATGGTGTTATCGGGAATACACTGTACTGTGGGTTACAATCATATCATAAACATTGATAACATTTAACGCCTTTTGATTAAAACTCACTTCACTTTTCATTAACACGTTTTCAATACAAAAACTCCGGAAATGTTAGACATATTGAACTGATTATCACTTTTAATCATTAAATAATTAGTCATTTATTTATATTACAATTAAATAAACTTTTAATTTATAATTAAAGTTTTTTTAGTAACAAAACTTTTAATTGTAATCAAAGAGTTATTTCTGGACGTAATTTATTGACAAAAAACGCGTTTAAAAAACATGTTTTGCATTGAATTCAATGTGTGTTTAGTTTTTGGGATCAATTAATAGTGATGTGAGCCTTACATATGTCCAGCAAATCAATGGATGATAATCGGGCCGACAATGAGAACGGATCAGCTAATGGTGATCGCAATCAACAACAAGAAGAGCGTCCGGAAGAGAGCATCTGTTTCTCAGGGAAGACAATATTGGCTCCGATGGTGAGGACGTCGACACTTCCCATGCGATTACTGTCCCTCCGGTTCGGCGCCGACATTGTCTACACCGAAGAGCTCATCGACTATAAGCTGATCCGATGCCAGCGTGTGGTAAACCCGGTGTTGGGAACCGTTGACTACATCGACGATCAGGCGGTTGTGGTGTTCCGGACGTGCGCTGAAGAACGCGACCGATTGGTCCTCCAATTGGGCACTAATGACCCGCAGAGAGCGCTGACCGCCGCCCGACTCGTGGCCGCGGATGTGGCGGCCATTGACGTGAACATGGGTTGTCCCAAATCGTTCTCAATTAAGGGCGGTATGGGTTCAGCTCTATTGACACAACCGGACAAAGTGTACGATATATTGCGGACACTAGTGATGGGCACCGGAGGGAAACCGATCACCGCTAAGATCAGAGTTTTGCCATCCATTGAACAGACGCTGAGTTTAGTGAAAGTGATTGAGTCCGCGGGCGTCACAGCTCTGGCCATTCACGGCAGGACTCAATGCGAGCGACCGAAGGACCCGAACCGTAACCACTATATCGAGGCCATCGCCCGAACCGCGACTATACCAGTGATAGCCAACGGCGGTTCCGATGAGATCGGTGTCCACGCGGACATCAAACGGTTCCGACAGAGCACTGGCTGTTCATCTGTGATGATAGCGCGCGCGGCGCAGAAGAATTGCTCAATATTTATGGCCAGAGATGAGTTGCTTCCGATGGACGAAGTGATCAAACAATACCTCGAGTTATGCATCGATTACGACAATCACGTGTCGAACACCTTTATACACTAGGTTGTCTACAACCCGAGTGAGGTCCTGTGCCTATCCCCAGCCTGACATAACCCGCGGGTTAGGGACGCGTGCTAGACGGTCAATACCGTAAACCTAGTGATATACCTAGTTTCCCATGGCCGCAAACGGGACTTGAGTTCTTCACGTGTGTTCACTGAGCGCACAGTTGTGTGCAATAAGCGGCTCAAGACTCGCGATGAGAGCGGCGATGACCACACGAAATGCGAAGACATGACTGAAATGGATGTGATATTTGTGCGAAGTCTGTACCCAACGGACAGCGTTTTGCCCAAATCACGACTCTATACGTACGCCAAGAGGCGGTCAGTGGCGCCGCCCGTCTACGAGACCCGACAGTTGGACAAACACTTTCATACAGTGGTGTCGATCGACGGCCGCCGCTATTCCAGCGCTTATCTCGAGAAGAATAAGCGATACGCAGAACAGACGGCCGCTTTGGTCGCCCTCTTGTCACTGAAACTGATCCACAACTCCAATGAGATCGACGAGAGTGTTGTGTCCGCCGATGATATGTATAGGATATCTGTTGCCATCGATTCTCACGTTTATTATATTAAGACTTCTTGAGATTGTGTCTAATATTAGGGTTATTTGAGACGATATTTATAATTGATTTGTAATTTAATTGTGGAAAATGTATATATTTTTGTTATTATGAATACTTTTATTGATAATAAAAATGTTTAATTATTGATATGAATATTTCATACATTTATTTCAATGTGTTTTCAAAGCGTTTTATAAGAATTTCGACAATTGATGGAAATTTTATATCAATTCTGATCTTTACTGTAAATGTAGTAAATGTTAGGTTTATTGAAAACAAATCCCTTGTTTATAAACCATACGATTATTTTATAAATTGTGTTTATTTTTAGACACGATATCTGTGTTTATAATCTGATAATCGTTTTGATAAAAGTGTTTTCAATCTATTTTAATGTGATTTTACATTAACTTTGCGCACATTTAGTACAAAACTAACACTAAATAATCAAAAAGTTTTTCACTATATTTAAAATCGTTGGAAAATTTGTGTAAATTTTATTGTTTTTCAATTATTCAATATTAACATTCAATTAATTAATTGTAAGTATTATTTAATGAAAAATAAATTAAATTTCATAAAATATTCCTAATATAAATACACGCCCATGATAAATGATATATCTAAAAATGAATCAACCTATCTCAAATATCTAATAATAGTGTTGGATACAGGCAATGCTGATGACCTTGATAAAACACATGATTTACACATTTTTGTTGTCAATTGTGTTAGATTTCAAGTTTTAAATTTCACTTTATTTCACTTTGATTTTATTTGTTTGTCGGCGAAGAGATGTCTTCGGCAATGATTGATCCAACACTTCGACAACTGATCGCCGATTGCCATCACTTTGAGGCCATAAAGTTCGGCGACTTTGTGCTCAAGACTGGCATTCATTCACCCATTTATCTGGATATACGACCGATGGTTAACAGACCTAAACCACTGGTATATTAAGATAATTTCACTTTAAATACTTTTAATTACTTTACATTAATTTTATTCAAATATTTATCGAAAGAAACAATTAAGTGAATTGATGTATAAGAAGATCATATCAATGAACATCACTCACGACCTGATCTGTGGCGTCCCCTACTCTGCCCTATCGATCGCATCGGTAAGTCTTGTGTCTCATCCCATGGATTGTCTAATGAGTTGTTTAATTAATTATTTTATTCATCTGTAAGAGTATTTGTGTCCAAAAGTTTGTTAATATGATAACAAAGCGAAAGGAAAACAAAGACTACGGAACTAAACAATTGATTGAAGGCCAATACAAACCGGGAGATCATGTGGTGATAGTCGAAGACATTATATCCAGCGGTTCCAGTATTTTGGAGACCGTTATTGTAATTACTGTTAATATTATCTCAAATATTATGAAGAAATTTACAAAATAAAACATTATTTCATATAATAGGCCTTAAGAAGTGCGGGTCTGGTAGTGACCGATGCGATCGTATTCATTGATAGGCAACAAAATGGTGTCAATAATATGAAAGAGTATGGCATTGATGTCCACAGGTTTGACATTTATTTATCTTATTTTACACTTTGATTGATTGCATTTCTTTTGCAGTTTAATTGACGTAAAGACAGCTCTGGATGTGTTAGAAGAGGAGAAACGTATTAATGGCCACCAAAAGTCGGGTATCATTGAATGGATTGACGCAAATCCGTTGCGGATTAACGACGATATCGTAAACGAATGGAAACTCTTATGTCTTCAGAATAAGACATCAAAACTGTTGTCGTATGAAGAAAGATCTCAATTACCAGAAACACATCCGTTGTCTCAACAGTTGTTTAAACTTATGGTCCGAAAGAAAAGTAATCTATGCGTTGCCGTCGATTTGACCACCAGTAAAGAGATCTTAGATTTGGCCGAAAAGATTGGTCCGTCGATTGTTATGCTTAAGCTTCACATCGATATCGTTGAAGACTTTGATCACAAGTTTATTGAAGAATTGACGGCATTGGCCGCCGAACACGAGTTCTTCATATTCGAGGACCGGTTTGTGGACACAATATATACTTTATTTGTTTATAATAACGATAATCTGTTCCTTTGAGCAGAAAGTTTGCAGATATCGGGCAAACAGTTGGCCTACAGTTTACTAAAGGTGTTCATCGGATCAGTAGTTGGGCTCATATAGTGAACGCTCATCTCGTTTCGGGTCCCGGAGTTCTGGAGGGACTCCGACAGGGATTTGAAAAGGTTTGACACATAAATGACCGCAATATCAATACTAATGCCGTTCTCTATTAACAGGACAGTAATCGGGGCTGTCTTTTGGTGGCCTCCATGAGCACTAAGGATAATCTAATGAACAGCGCGTTCCCGAAGAGTGCCTACAAGTGGTCCCAAAAATACAAAGACTTTGTTATTGGGTTCATCTGTCAGTCCCGAGTGTCGGCCGACCAGCGATTCATTCACATGACTCCCGGCGTCCACATCGATGTGTCGGGCGATCCGTTGGGTCAGCAATACGTCACTCCCGAGGAAGCGATTAAGAAGAGGGGCGCAGATGTGGTGATTGTTGGCCGAGGCATCACCGGTGCCTCCGATCGCGAGTTTGACCACACTTTACAACTCTATCAGAAGCGGGCTTTTGAAGCGTATCTCAACCGAGACTCCGATTAATGATAAGCTTAAGAGTTTTGATGGCAATTGTCTTAAGTTTTGTGAAACAAGTTTTCAAAGCGAACGTTATTTTTGTATTATTTTGTCACACAATATATGAATGAGTTTTTTATTTGTTTTGAATAAACATTTTTTGCGTGAATTTTGTTGTCATTTAAAGTATGAGTGAATTGAAGACATTAGTGGCGGAACTGATCCGATCCGAGACAACCACTCAGTTGTCTTCAGTGGTTCAACACATCTCCAAATGCATTCTTCAGGAGCTGTCGGCCGCGCAGTCTTCGGCCACGAGTGGCGGTGACGACGACTACTGTCCGCCGGCAGTGTTGGAAGCGTTTCGGGCGATCGCCAAGAAGTCTGTGCCGACGGAAGTGGTCTATAAGACGAGCGCCAGCGGTGGTAAAGCGCAGGCCTCGCGAGCGCTCATAATCTTCGATAACATGAGACAACTGTTGCTGAGAATGGATTCGCAGAAGTTATCGCTGCCGAAGCCGGTGGTGACGGAACTGCTGT